TCTAAGACAGTAGTTCAACCCCCGCAGCAGTGCCAAGAGAAAAAAGATGAGGCTTTCTGTTCCTGTAAATATTGACAGCCTCAGAAACCCAAAAGAGCAGTTCTTCTCTGCCCTATAGGATCCTTATGAGTCAAAATTGACTTTGTGACAATGAGGTGGCCCCGACCCCCTTTGCTTGCTGCTTAATAGCAAGGAAAACAGTGCAGAGAAGAATATCCAAAAAGCACAGGAAACCATTCAGAAAGAGCTGTGTATAGACAAGGAAGAGGAGAGAGGTGTGTGTGTGTGTGTGTGTGTGTGTGTGTGTGTGTGTGTAGGTGGGGGATGAGCAGTGGGAATGACGGGTCTGTTCTCATTATGAAAATCCTTCTCTGGTAAACTTATTCCTTCCTTCTGATTTTTCATTTCTACTAAGAAGCTAATTTCTGAATAGAAGTTTCCAGTATGTGCTTCACACCTAGTGGGTACTTTATAGCGTGGAAATATCCTTTGAAAGGCATCAGTATGAGTGTAGGCCAAGAGTCAGCACGAAATTTTGCTCCATGATAAACATTAGACGTGGTTACTTGGGATCCCAGAGAACGTAAAACAGATAGTTGTTATAAATCATTTGCTATGAAACCACAATACTCAGATGATACTCTTTTCCGTGGTGGGACTTCTACATAGCCCAGTTTTCTGAGGTGTTGGCAACGATAAAGCTGGTAAACCATGACCATGGACCAGACAAGGCTCGCTGCCTACTTTTGCACATAAACTTGTATTTGAAGACAAGCGAGTGCTGCTTTGGAGCTATGAGGCAGTGCTGAGCCGTGACAACAAAACTAGGAAAGTCTTAACCATTTCTTTTTTTAATTTGTTATTTATTTTATTTTATTTTTTGTTGTTGTTTTTTTTTTTTTAGTCTTAACCATTTCTAATCTGGCCCATTGACCAAAAGAGTGTGCCAGGTTTACTCTAAATCAACACCTTTGCAACTGTTCACATGTAATTTTAAAACAATACGTTGTGTCAGTGCTATTTTCTAAAAGTCAAGATGGGGGATCAGTGTTGAACTGTTATCTACCAAGTTGGTGGTTCAAACCCACCACCCGCTCTGAGGGAAAAAGATAAGACTGATCCAATAAAGACGTGCAGTTTCGGAAATCCTACGTAGGGTCCGAAGGAACTCAATCCCTGTGGGTTGTGTTGTGTGAAAGCCCTCCCCAACCCGATTTAAATGCAGGCAGGGTTCCACGGTCACTAAACACTGGTCACTAAACACTGGCAATTTCGGAGATTTAGCTGAAAGAACGATATTGATTACTAAGTATGTCACAAGTGACTTAACTAATCAGAGGCAGAAAACAGCTGGGCTATTTGGTAAGGTCTAGCCTCCTAGGATATCCAGTTGGGGGTATGGAAGCTTTTAGAAAAGCCATAAAATCATGAATTAAGCGATTGTGAGCCTTGCCTTGTCTGCCGGTGTTAACCTGGCCCACGGTTTGTCCGCCCGGCGGTCGTAGTCCGGGGAGTCACTGACTTCTACATACTCATTGAACCGGAGAATCCTTCGTGCCTGTAGCTCGGCCACTGTGGGTC